GTGAAAAGACAAAAGTAGAAGGCCTGAGTGGGTGGAGGGGCGTACGCCAAAATGGGGTAGCACCCTGGATCCAATAAACCAAAAGCATGTGCCTAAGGACACCAAAAGTAACTGGGGAATATTTAAATGTATGTACAGCAAGACAGCAGCATTGATCATGTAATGGTAATATTTGCTTGGTATGCATCATTGTTTTTAGCTAGGTAGAGGAACACCAGCGTTTTTTGCTTTGTTGTGTTTGTTGTTTGTTTTTTGTTTTTTGAGAGCGAGTTCTGCACCTTGGGTTGCCAGGCTGGAAGGTGCAATGGCGCATCTCAGGCTCACTTGCAGGACGCGTCGCACTTCCCGCGTTCGAAGCAATTTCTTGCTCAGCCTTCTGAGTTAGCTGGGAACTTACAGGGCCCCACTACCATCCCAGGCTAACTTTTGTGTATTTTTAGTAGGAGACAAGGTTTACACCATGTTGGTTCAGGCTGGTCTCACAACGACTCCGTAGCCTCTAGGCTTGATCTGCCGCCTCGGCCTCCCAAAGTGTTGGGATTACAGGCGTGAGCCATTGCTCCCAGCCGAATGCCATTGTTTTGAGGAAAAACATGCTGAAGTATTTGTAAGAATCACAATGTCTGCAAGTAACTTAAATGGCTTGGCAAAATATGTGTGTGGAAGAAAAAGTAAATATGGCAAATGTCAACATCAGGTAAATAAATTTAAGATTAATACTTTTTTCACATTACTTCATTTAACAACTTAAAACTTAGGAAAGCAGAAATCAACTACCTACTGCTGAAAATGGGAAGGAGGTAGTTGTAAAAACAAGATAAGGCTTTAGAAGAGTGAAAGAAGGTCTGTAGGTCTGAAATTGACTTTGGGGAAGCCGAGGAAACCTGGCATGGGTGCAGGTCCTACGCAGTGCTGAAGGCCTAATTGAAGCTGGAGACAAAATAGTGGTTTACCATGAGCCAGCCTCCTAGTTCCACTGGCCTAGAATTTCACAATGCTGGAAGCTATTAACTAAAGGACTGCCTTTTGTGGAAATTTATAACAATTTTCATGGTAACCAGTCTTGTTACTGATATATTCAGGGACTGCTTATACTTTTTTTACACAAAAAAATTTTCTCCTAAATCCTTTTTTAAATGAAAATGTTATTTTATATCAATCTAAAACTTGTATTCAGTTTAACATCTTGGTTTTGCAAACGAGGTGGTCTGTATTCAAGGAAACCCAATGCTGCTTCTGAGGTCAACTTATAAGACAACTAACTGAGACAGACAAGATACTACTAAATGCTTCATGGTAGGGCAGGAAGTATTGACTCATGGTGCCCCCTGTTAACAGGAGGGAAAAAAAATTACAAGGAAAGGACACAAAGATAATATGATGCTTTGGTCTTATTTAGTCCTCCATAAACTAAACTAAAGCAGAGTAACAGAGAACTGAGTCTCCCAAACTCTCTTGAGAGATGACTCCAAAGATTCATAAATATAACCACAGACCCACAATGTAAAATGTCCACAAACTTGGGCCTCCATAGGAGATTTCTTACCTACCTCTTCTGGGAGGAAAGTACATAGTAATAAATAATGAAAATGAATTTATTTTCCTTTTTTTAGAAGGGTAACCTCTACCAGTATTGAATAAGAGAAAGCTGGTATAACTAAAGAAAAGCCTTATCTCTACCTTATTTATAGAGTAGACATGCAAACCCAAAAAGTTCTGTACATTTGAACCAGGTGAACGTTCCCATCTAATATTAAGGCCAGTGCATCCTGAAGTTTTGAAATCAAAACTGATTTCTATCATCTATAACTGATTACTGTAATGTGTAACGGTCCTTTCGCACGCCTTAAGATGCCTGTTCACACTTCATCCTTCAAGGCTCTCCTTGCTCCTGGAAAAGAGGAAGGACTGGTGGAGGGCACTGAAATGGCCAAATTCAAAAGAACTCTTTCCAAATCCTCTCAATCGGTCCTTTGAATATTTTGATACAGAGTTTTGATACCAGTTAAAAAACTGAACAGCAGTTTCTGCCTTGTATCTAAAATCCGTTAACAATTTGAATTCACTAACAAGAAAACACTTTGTCTTTCACCCTATTTTAATATATCTATATAGATATAGATCTATATAGATATATACACACCTTACACTATTTAAACTATAAAATTATTTTTGGTAGTCAGATCAATTCTCAAATTGCTAAAGTAGAAGATCATATTCTCAAAGCAGGTAAATATAATCTCTTACCTTCCCATAAAGAAGTAAACTGTGTCAGCTTCTTTGCGGATCAAAATCAGAAGACCAAGAGGAACCAGGTTCCAATTTCTTTTCAACTAAAATACTTTTAGACTTGCTTTTATTCCTCTCTGTTCTGAGCCTCTGAGGAAACTGTACAGTAAGCTCCTTGTGTCTACTCTCTACAGTGTCTACTCCAATCTCAGCCCTTTGTGGCCTATTCAGGAAGGCGGGAACAACCTCTAAAGTAAATCAACAAGAAGCCATAATTAAAGGCGGCATCACACTGACCTCTCTGAACATTAAATACCAGAAGACAGTGGACTAATGTTACAGAACTTAGGTATTCATATGCACAAAAGCAGAAAAACATTTCTATTTGCAGAGACTTGGAAAATATATGACTCATGTAACCACTTTGGAAAATTTCCTCGAAAGACATGCTTCATTCAAGTAAGAAGTGAACTGGAAAAGAAACCAGACCCAAGAGGTCTAACTCTATGAAAAACTTCAGGGCAAGTTCAAACTCTTCAAAATGAGGACAACTGACAGTAGCTTATCTGGTGACTAACAGCAGCAATTTAATGTAATGAGAAAAAAAGCCAATTACATTAAAGTTCATATTTCTTTAAAAAGTAATACCAATGGAAACGAAATCTTTTTGAAGAGTTCTGTTCATACTAATAATATATATGCCACATAGAATTTTTATTTAAAAAGCATGTGATGAAATGGATGCCATCGTCTTTCATTCTGTTTATCAAATTACAGGAATTTGTTACCATTAGATGACACTGTGACCAAACTACACAATTAGTATCTAAGAAAGTACAGACAGCCCTCGTTTCAAAAAATATTTCATCACCTTGCAGATACAGGTTTTTAATTAATACTTATTATTTTATCCATATATTATTATCTGCACCAAAATACCACCTGGAAATGGTTTAAGGAGGCAGCAGACAGGTAAGAGTTGAGGTGATTTCAGGTAGCTGGAGTTAAAAAATCCTAGGCTAGTATATAACTAATCTATAACTCTGTCCTCTCTTTCACACCTCTTAAAATGCCTTTTCACTACTTTATCTTTCAAGATTCTCCTTGCTACTGGAACAGAGAAAGGACTGGTGTAAAGCATTGAAAAGACTAAAGGGCCAAATTCGTAAGAACTCTTTCCAAATCCTCTCAATACAGCAGTGGCTAATTCTGGGGAGTTCTTTAATGAAATGTTCTTAGGTGACACAACTTATTACAGGAAACCTCTCTACAAAGCCATGAATGTGTGCCTTACCTTGTGATTCAGGAATTGCTAAGTAACTATATAAAAAGATGTGTATACGGATGTTGATCATGGAGTTGCTGGCTTAACTTCGTGTCAAATAGTGCTTCCATTTTTATTTTTAAAAAATTTTAAGGATCTTAGGATAGAAAAGAACAGGAAGAGCAAAAATTAAAACGTTGCTGATGATTGTCTCTGAGTAGGAAAATCATGTGATAAGAGCTCTTTGTAATTCTCCAACTTTTCCGCACTGTAATGGAATTACACTTGTAATGACAAAGGAAAAACAAATCCTCACAATGAGAAGGATTACAACAACGTGTTCCTCACAACAAGGAAGGCTTACGTTCAATTTTTGGTTTTGCTTTTTTGTTTTTAGACATCTGATCTTATCTTATTCATTCTCCAAAACCACTTATTAATCCAATCCAAACCACTCCAAAGCCAATTATGAAAAACAAAAGCAAAATTATATGGATAGGACATTCATTTTCAATGAATTAATTTAGTATATATATAAAACCCAATATATACATAAAGTATGTGTTATCTCTACACAGTGTACACTACAATGGGCCTCTGCAAAATTACTGCATGAAGAACATGGATGTTTCCTTTTCTAAGGCTCTTTCAGGGATTCTGTGATAGAGCAGAAAGTGACCACTGTGCTCCCACAGCACCGCTCGCTCATCACTATCATGGTACCTAGCACACCTGCACGATTTTAAGTTTCTCTCCTGACAAATTCTGACTCCAGAATTTATGTTAGCACAGTGCCTGGCACATAGTTGACACTTAGTAAACATTGGATGCATTGATAGATGGATGGATGAAAATTTCAGACAGACAGACTTAACAGACATACATACCTGGATGGATAACAGGGACAAATTAATGCAGAGATAGATGGACAAGGGAATGCATGCAAACACAGATGCATGGATAGAGAAATGACTACTTCATGGAGACTTTCAGTCAAAAAAGCCTGCTTCCAGTCCCAACTCTGCCAGTAACTATCTATGTAACAAGTCACTCCACCTTTCTGGGTCTTTTGGTCATATATAAAATAAAAGTTCCTTTTAGCTGCTGAATTAGATGACTAAGACTTAGGGCATGGCTCTTCATTTTAAGCAATTAGAGGAGATTGTTGGTGGGCGTGTTTTTTATAACACTATTGATTATACTTAAGATTTAATTGATGCCAAATCCTTGACCAGTGATACCACTCCTGATCCTCACATTGTTCCTATATAAAAACACGATTCACTTTAAGATGATGATGTACATGCTTTTCAGAAATGTCGTATTGTGAGGTTTGAGCTGAGTGCCTTGAAGACCAACATATTGAGGCAAACTTTAAGTCATTTTTTTCAACCTCTGAAAAACACATTCCAATCTATTGGCGACATTAAACAGGAAGAATCTAGCTAAAGGCTTTTTGCAAAATGGTAAAACACAATCCTTCACGATATAAAATGTGGCCATCTACCTTTTACTTTTTTATCAAATTTCTTCTGTTTCATTTTTTCTCGGTTTTCCTGTCGGACTTCCTTTGCTTCTTCTAATGCTTCTTGACTACCCCAAACTTCAAGAGACCTCTTCACAATCTACAACACAAAATCCATATTTAAATAAGTTGTGATTCGGACTTGCAAAATATTATAAAGTTATAACTGTCAAATCCACAGGTACCAAAGAATATCTAACTCAAGTATAAATTTATAAATACTTATGAGAAATGTAAAGGTTCTAAATATTAATGATCAGAAACAACTCTAATAAAACATCTATCCAAACCTATGAAACTGTCAGTAAACATATGCTGAATTAGATTATAAATAGAAAAGTTGTCCTCTGACTGTATCGTCACAGGAATCAAAAGTACATGTGGTCAGTGAGTTTGATCAACTGTGGCGGGCTCACCAAAGAAACAGTTTGTTGACAGATTAGCCACATCAGACCTAAACATGAGGTCATCTCCAAAAAATCTCCAACCGCAGGAAATTACCAATTACTACTACTCATCTCCTTCAAGATCAGTAATTGTTTCTATCGACTTGACTTCTGATCTGCAGGATATATGTATTTTTTTAATTTTGGTACCGAAATGATGTAAAAAGTCTTCATTCTACTTTTAAAACTTTACATTATATACCTTTATCCTTTATAGTATTTACTCACATTTTAAGAGAATTTACCACTAAGGATTATGCTCAGGATACCTCTCACAATATGTTAAAGGACCATAATATTAATCAGTGTAGCCAAACTCAAATTTCTTACATATTCAAGTGATATACTTGTTTTTCATATATTCTGGGACATCACGTTTTCCACAATTTAACATCCCTGAAAATGCTGCATCACCAGTGCACTTAATGGTACTTTAACAACTCTGAGTCAAAAAGTGATGAAGAACCGGACTTTGAATGGAAAGTTTAGGAATACCATCATAAGTCTTCTGCACTTGCATTTTCCCTTTTATGTATGCAAAAGTTGTGATATATGACAAAAAACTGTAATAGTCTACTGGCGCTATTTCACCAAGTATAAAATAAAAGCATCAAGTGATAAGAAAGCGTATGTTGATTTAATTAGCGGCATTTAAAAATATTTAATGATACATAAAACAATAGTGAATTTTCTAATCAACAGACTCATATTAGTATTTAATGAAATTCAGTACATGTTTTGTTTTACAATACTGTGCTCTAAAGCAATGCCTCCCAATATTTTAAGCTAACAGCACAAAAAGAATATTACAATATTTGTACCACTCTGAGGTAGATACAAGAGACTGCTTGTGACTCAAAGAAAACTGGCCTGGGCACTAGCAGTCCTAGCCACTAAGTGGATCAGCATCTTGGCACGCCTGTAACCCGTCTGCAGCAAATGGCGCTGAGAAGACCTGCTCTGAGATTACAGAGCTATATGGACACTCGCTAGCATTCCAGATGGGTAGAGTTAGATTTTAGGTATTTATGAAATTCCTGAAATTTTTCTTTTTTTAAATATTTCTTTTTTGGTGGGAGATGGAGGTGAAAGAGGGTAAGGAAATGGGGCCTGACTCCCATTCCAACCTTTTTTAGTTTCCAAATTGTACTCTTAACATCACCCAATAGCAACATGTTTGTTTCAAAGTGCCATATTAGAAGCAAACTGAGGTCAGGCATGATGGCTCATGCCTGTAATCCCATCATTTTGGGAGGCCAAAGCAGGAGGATCACTTGAGCCCTGGAGTTCGAGACCAGCCTGGGCAATATGGCAAAACCCCATCTCTACAAAAAATACAAAAAACTAGCCAGGTGCTACCCAGAAGGCTAAGATGGAAGGATTACCTGAGCCCAGGAAGTCAAGGCTGCAGTGAACCATGATCTCACCACTGCACTCTAGCCTGAGTGACAGAGTGAGACCTTATCGTATCAGACAAAAAAAAACAAAAGCAAAATGAGAAAACATGTTATTAAATGTCATTATACATGACTGTGATGCATATGCAAAACTAGAGAAAAGAGTTTTTTCACACTCTGTAAGCAAAAACCAAGCTGACTATGACTAGTTTGTTATTAAGACTTTACCAGAGTTAAATATAATAAACACAACTTATTAGAGACCTGTAACTTTAAGTAGAGTTTCATATCACCCCATTGTGAATGATGTGGATTCTTCTTCACAATAAATTTAAGAGGTGGCTCTCTTTTTTCTAAATCACAGTCTTTCAGAAGATATTCTTGTTTTGCCTCTGTTTTGGTTATAAGCTTATGTTTATCATCAGCATCTCTGAAAACAGATTAAGTCCATTATATAAATTAGTTATTTTAAATAAACTAAGTTTGCAAATGGCCCAGCAACTTAGGGGCACACACAGCAAAAAGGACATATAAAATACTTTTTCCTGCAACTCTCATGGTTAAATTAGCAACATAAGAATTCTAACGGAAAAATACTTTATCTTTTACTTATTCTGATAAGTTATATTATCTAGAGAAAAAACATTCTTAGCAAAGGGAACAGCAAGGGCAAAGGCTCTAGGGCATGGGTGTATTTTGCAAAGAGAGCTTACAGCAAGAGGACCAGTGTAACTAGAAGACCTGCAGTAAGCGATGGTGAGGAGTGGTGGGAGATACAGTCAGAGACAGTCAGGGCCTTGCAAGAAATGGTGAAGACAATGGTTAGAAACCGCTAGAAAGTTTTGAGCAAAATACGATATGAAAAGGAGACCCTAGGGGTACAAAAGGGGTAGTGGGGGAGAGACCAGTTAGAACACTACGGCAGTGGTCCAGGCAAGAGCTGATGGTGGCCTAGACTAAGGCAGCAGTGGGAGAGGATGAGATGCCGATGGATTCAGGATATGGTTTGAACCTAAAGCCAAACAGGTTTGGAATTAATGCACACAGGAGAGTGGAGACATAGCCAGTGAATGAAGCTGGCTTTACTGAAATGGTAAACACTGAAGAGCAGGTACAGGTCAGGGAGGGGAGAAATCAAAGGTTCAATCAGAGGATTCTATCACAAACACATAAAAGTTAAAACTGGGAAGAGCTGTATGAAAGCTAAATAATTCAGAAGTATAAACTAACATGAGACATGTAGACTACATGGTACTAAAACTATCATCTTTGACAATGTTGAAAAAGAATGGAGGCCTGTGTTCCTGATTATGATTAAACATAAAAGCGTAACATTTCCAGACTTTTCAAGGTGTTGGCAGGACTGCGTTCCTTTCTGGAGGCACTAGGTAAGAATCCATCTCCTTGCCTTTTCTAGCTTCTAGAGGCCACCTGCATTCCTTAACTCATGACCCCCTCCTTCCACTTTCACAGCCAATGATGATGGCTTCTCACATTGCACCACTCACTTCTTCATTAATCGCATGTCCCTCTGACTCTCAGCTTTCCTCTTCCACTTCTAAGAAAGCTCGTGTGCTTGTATTCGGTCTACCTAGATAGCCCAGGATAATCTCCCCATCTCACGGTCTTTAACCTTAATCATATCTGCAAAGTCCCTTTGCTATGGTAAGGTAATATATTCACAACTTTCTTTAAACCAGTACAATAGTTGCTTCCATTTTCTCTTGGAAATAAAATTCTATGTAGTGTTTCATTTCCCAAAAGCTATACTGGCCTTTAAGGAGAATGATGACAATACTGTGGACCTTCACCACTGTGTAGGTGGGAAATGAGTTTGTAATCTGTAGTTCCAGCTGTGGTGCTGGAACATTCCCAGCCATATATCTGATCATGAGACCAGGGACCACACCTCCCTCTCTATCTACCTAGGACTCCGCTCAGCAACAAGCCAATCACGATGGTTCCCAGTGTCTGCAGCAGGGACTCTAAAAGGTCGGGTCCTTCAGGCATGTGAGGAGTTGATTGAGGGCTGTAGGGACAAACTAAGCACAGGGAGCAGGTAAGAGGTCCAACTAAGATTCCAAGATGGTACCTTCAAAGTGCAAAAGATACCAGCACAGCATCTGGCTGAGTCAACAGTAGCGATAGGAGAACCATGTAAAGTGAGAAAGGTTATTCTGGGTGATATAAAAAAAGGATAAAGTCTAGAAGAAAAAGAATGGAAGAATATGGTTTTTCCTCATCTATTCTCTTTATGAGGGTAGCAAAACATGAATGAAAAAGGTATTCTGAGCTACAGTCCTCTCACTGAAGGCCCCAGTCCCCTGACCAAGATGTAACACACCCTGGAATAATTAAGAAATAGAGGGATCATTAGGGCTGGGTGAAGAGAAGGGTTAGGAGCCTGCTACTGAGACATGTTAAAAAACAAGAACAAAAAAACTCAGGCCAGCAGAAAAAGAAAAGGAAATTTCTATGGCAGAACCATCCTTCCTATTTTATGGGGTGTATCATAAGCTTTAATAGTCACAGATTTACTGTATTTGGCAAAATAGAAACCATAGAAATTTTAGGAAACGCCCAAAATAAAAATCATAATTACTAAGAAAATATCAAATCCAAACAGATATAACTTGTTTTGCCCTAAACCTACCCATAAACATTAGCAATTAAGAACATCATCTAAAATAAGTACCTGCAGTTATCACAAGTTGGCAAATCAAAGTGGTTCATAAGATAAGAATCCATAAATTCTTTCCCACATTCTTCACATATTACATAATCAAATTCCATAACAGGTCCTAAGAAAAGGAAAATGAACTCTTTAAGTTTCCTTTTTTATGACTAGAACAATATATTTTCCTCTATTAGCTTATCTGCATGTATGTTATGCCTCACATAAATACACTTAAGTAAAAGACAAAATAAGACCTTGATTATGTTTATCTAAAAAAAAAATTAAAGAGGAAAAAAGAAAAGGAAGTAACATAAAGAAAAAAAACCTAGCAATTCCACAAGTATTTCTGAATCCCAGCCATGTGCAAGGTACCTGTATTAGTGCTACATTGCAGCTATAAGAAACTATCACAGACTAAGTGACTTAAAACAACACACATTTATTATCACACAGATCTCTAGTTTATTCTGACATGGGTCTCAGTAGGCTAAAATCAAGGTGTTGGCAGGGCTGTGTTCCTTTCTGGAGGCTCCAGGCAAGAATCCATCTCCTTGCCTTTTCCAGCTTCTACAGGCTGCCTGCATTCCTTGACTCAGGACCCCTTCCTCCATCTTCACAGTCAGCAATGGTGGCTTCTCACATGGCATCACTCACTTCTTCCATAATCACATGTCCCTCTGACTCTCAGGTTTCCTCTTCTACTTTTTTGTAGAAAAGGAGTCTTGCTCTGCCGCTGAGGCTGGAGTGCAGTGGCACGATCTCGGCTCAGTGCAACCTCCACCTCTCAAGTTCAAGCGATTCTCCTGCCTTAGCCTCCTAAGTAGCTGAGATTACAGGTGCACGCCACCATGCCCAGATAATTTTTGTTTTGTTTTAGTTTTGTTTTGTTTTTTGAGATGGAATCTCGCTCCATTGCCCAGGCTGTAGTACAGTGGCGTGATCTTGGCTCACTGCAACTTCCACTTTCTGGGTTCAGGCAATTCTCCTGCCTCAGCCTCCCAAGTAGCTGGGATTACAGGCACGCACCATCACACCCAGTTAATTTTCATATTTTTAGTAGAGATGGGGTTTCACCATGTTGGCCAGGCTAGTCTCGATTTCCTGACCTTGTGATCCACCCACCTCGGCCTCCCAAAGTGCTGGGATTACAGGCGTGAGCCACTGCACCCAGCTCTAATTTTTGTATTTTTAGTAGAGACAGAGTTTCACCATGTTGCCCAGGTTGGTCTCAAACTCTTGATCTCAGGTGATCCATCTACCCTGGCCTCCCAAAGTGCTGGGATTATAGGCGTGAGCCACTGTGTCCAGCCCCTCTTCCACTTTTAAGGAAATTTGTGTGCTTACATTGGGTCTACCTGGATAACCCAGGATATTCTCCCCATCTCAAGGTCTTTGACCTTAATCATATCTGCAAAGTCCTTTTTGCTATGATAAAGATAATATATTTATAGGTTCCAGGGTGATTAAGGCATGGACATCTTTGGGGGCCATTATTTTGCCTACCACAGCACCGCTGAAAGTACAAAACAGATTAGTCCCAGAGTGGTAGGGTGAAAAGGGATCTGCTTACAGACAGGGCACCAACATTACACAGGAAAGAGCAATAAACAGCATGGTAACAGAAGAAAGACAACAACAGCATTCACTTCCAAATGGAAACATTTTTTTCTCCCTCCATTCTACCCCCTACCAACAAAGCAAAAAGCTTCTTTATCTGTCTCACCTTCTGGATTATAAACTCCTTGAGAGGAGAGTCTGTATTCAGCCATGTATCCTCAACTCCCAGCACAGAAAAACCACTCTAGGTAAGGCAAGGCTAGATTATTTAAGGACTTCAAATGCCTAGCTATGAAACTTAATCCTGTAAGAACTGTTTCTCCCAGCAAGTCTTTAAATTTTACTAGTAAGGCTGGGCACAGTGGCTCACACCTATAATCCCAGCACTTTGGGAGGCCAAGGTGGGTGGATCACTTGAGTCCAGGAGTTCGAGACCAGCCTGGTAAACATGGCAAAGCCCTGTCTCTACAAAAAAATACAAAAATTAGCCAGTTGTCAATTAGCTGGGCATGGTAGCAGGCACCTGTAATCCCAGCTACTCTGGAGGCTGAGGCAGGAGAATCGCTTGTGCCCAGGAGGTGTAGGTTGCAGCAAGCCAAGATTGTGCCACTGCATTCCAGCCTGGGCAATAAGAGTGAAACTCCGTCTCAAAAACAAAAACAAAAAAATTAGCCAGGCATGGTGATGTGTGCCTGTAGTCCCAGCTACTTGGGAGGCTGAGGTAAGAGAATCCCTTGAACACAGGCGGTACAGGTTACAGTAAGCCAAGATCACGCCACTGCATTCCAGGCTGGTGACAGAGCAAGACTCTTTCCATATATATATATATACACACACACACACACACACACCCCCTACCTACATACATACATACATATATACACACACACACACACACACATACATATACATATATATGTAAACACATAAATTTTACTAAGAAGTCTTTAGGCTGAATGCTCCAACTCTCAGAGCTGCCACAATTTCCAATGAGAAGAAAGAGGAGTTGTCGACTGGGCGCAGTGGCTCACGCCTGTAATCCCAGCACTTTGGGAGGCTGAGGAGGGTGGATCACCTGAGACTGGGTGCTTGAGACCAGCCTGACCAACATGGAGAAACCCCGTCTCTACTAAAAATACAAAATTAGCGGGGCCTGGTGGTGCATGCCTATAATAACAGCTACTCAGGAGGCTGAGGCAGGAGAATCGCTTGAACCCAGGAGGCGGAGGTCACAGTGGGCCGAGATCGCACCACTGCACTCCAGCCTGGGCAACGAGAGTGAAACTCCATCTCAAAGAAGAAAAAAAAAAAAAGAAAAGGAGAATTGTCATTATGTCATTAATTAACTGTTTGTTTCAAAATATTCCTATCACTGCCTTTTACCTCCTTCGTTATAACACACTAATCTTCAAACTTTAAGAAAACAAACAAACAAAAAAATCATGCTTTTTTTGTAGAATATTAGAGGAGCATATCCATAGACAAAAGGAAAACTAAAAATTTTGGAACAAGGCCAGTGATAGCCAAAGTGGTATATTTGAAAAATTTACCAGGATGCGTTAGAATGAAGAGAAAGTGTGACAGAAATACCAATTAGGAAGCTATTACATAGCATTATTAATTAAAACATTTAAAATGTGCAGTTTTCTAATTTAAAACATTCTTTATAATGGGAATTCCTAAATAAACACAATGATAATTTTCAAATTGTCACTCCCTTTTACATTTACCACTCAGAAACTGGCAGTCTACCATAAGCAAGAGTTGTGTAATTATTTCATTATATATTACAATGTAACAATAATGGAAATAAAGTACACAGTAAAATGTAATACGCTTGAATCATCCTGAAACCATCCCCAGCCACCCTCCAACCCCACCCCGGGTTTTGTCGTCCACAAAACCAGTCCCTGATGCAAATAAAAACAACTATTTAATCCTTCAAGTCTCAGCTTCTGCAAACAACAGTATAGACACACACAGATTAGAGCAGCGCAACCACCTACATTGATGAATGCACAACACTTCTGTAGCTACAACTAAAGACTGGAATAGGTTTTCGGTTTTTTTAAATCTGTTATATTGCACTGTTGGCTGCTAAACTTATAAAAAAATAAAGTGTTTCTATCTTTTTCCCAAAGACTGTGAAAGTACCCTCACTGTGAAGATACGTATACACATAAGTGATTTACCAAAGCACTAACCTTAGATCATAGTTATATCCTTCTTTGTATGCTGGTCTACCTTATATTTTGTAAGCTGCTTTCTTTCTCCACAGTTATCTCCCAGATGCTGGCGCCTCATTTCAGCCTATCAGGATAATTCTGAGTATTTATTCTACCAATCAATATACTGACTAACCCTGCCTATTATAAAACAACAGAGAGCATCAACCCCTAAGTACATCAGCCACAAGTTAAATAATCATTTCCATATGCATGGCTGTTTCTTTGATTTTTTTAATCTACTAGCAAAACTGCCAAACTTTATCACTTTTATAAAGATAATGTACTCACTAATTAAAGTAATTGCGGCATTATGTAGCATCAGTTTGCATAGAATTAAGCATGTTACTCAAAATAACCAATCTAGATACTTATTTTTGAAAAACTCACTTTACCTGGTTGATGAACAACTTTTCCAATTTTATGTTCTTCTTCTTCTTCCTCTTCTAAAATGAAGCCTCCTCCTGTGTCAATTATCTTTGGGGCTGCTTTTACATTAGCCATGCCTACAAAAGTAAAAGCAGTCAACAATTGAAGTAGGTAAGCCCGTATGTTACCTTGTTCACAAAGAGAAAATTCCTCTGAATTCAATATATCTCACACAACACAAGATGTCCACAATCACCACTTCTATTCAACATTATACTGAAGGCCCCAGCTAGTCCAACAGAGCAAGAAAACCAAAAAGGCATAAAGGATGAAAAGAAAGAAGTAAAACAGCATCTGTTCACAGATGATGTAATTATGTGTGTAAAATATCCACAAGAATCTACAATTAGAATTAAGAAATAACAACCTAGAAAGAGATGTGTAAAACCTCTGCCCTGAAAACTACAAAACACTAAGAGAAATCAAAGAAGACTTAAATAAATGGAGAAATATACTGTGTATGGATTTTAAGCCTCCACATCATAAAAACATCAATTCTTCACAAATTTATCTAAAGGTTCAAGGTGATCTCAGCCAGAACTCCAGCAGTGGGGTGTGTTGTGTTATATATGTGTGTGTGTGTGTGTGTGTGCACGCGCGCGCGCACGCACGCGCGTTCACCCGGAAATTTCCATTTCATATTTTGGGCCATGGTTGACTGTGGGTAACTAAAGCCACAGAAAGTAAAACCTTGGATAAGGGAGGACTAACGTATGCATATCTGACAAAGGGGTCACATTCAGAATACATAATAACATTCTCTAAGTCAGTAAAAGACAAATAACCCAACTTTTAAAAACAGGCAAAAGATCTGAATAGGCACTTAACAAATGAGGATATCCAAATGGCCAAAAAGCACATGAAAAGGTTCTCATTATCTCTAATCATTGGGAAAATACAAATTAAAACCATAATGAAGTATCATTAGACTCTCACCAGAACGTCTAAAATGAAAAAGACTGACAATACCAAGTGTGAGGATGTGGAGCAACCAGAACTGCCATACATTGCCAGTGAGACTGGAAACTGATACAATCAGTTTGGCAATACCTACTAAAGCTGAACATAACTACACCTCTCCTATGACCCAGCAATTCCATCTCCAGGCATATACACAAGAGAAGTGTGTATGTCCACTAAAGCACATAAACAGGAATGTGTACAGAGGTTTCATTCCTAACAGCCCCAAAGTGGAAACAACCCAAATAGCCACCAAAAGGAAAACGGAAAAATTGCGGCATAATACAAAAGAATCTATACAACATCTAAATGCACAAACTACCAATGCATGCAACAAAATGCCTGAATCTCTCAGATACTATGTTGTGCAAAAAAAGGGCAGATACTGTACAGACTCAATGTACATCAATTTCAGAAAGAGGTAATACCAATCAAATGGTCAGAAGAGTATTACTTCTGAGAGTAGAGAGTGGACACCGACTAGGAAGGCGCAACAGGAAAACTTCTAAGGTTCCGGAAGTGTACATATCTTGATCACTATGGTGTTTACACAAGCATTCACATAGGTAAAATTCAGATGAGTACATTTCACAGTATGTTACACCTCCATTTTTTAAAATAAGACAAATTTAGTATGTTTTATTCTGCTAAAGTCAATCCCCTTCTCTGGCCTCAATTTCTCCCTCTATTAAATGAAAGGATTAGATTATAAGCTTGTTTCCACTGTTAATAGCAATTCTCACTATAACACCTGTTCATTTCTCTGTATCCCTTCATTAGACTGAGTGCCTTTACCTGTATACTTCTGACAAACAGTAAACATTCCATGAGTACCGACTGGATGGTTAGAAACGAATGAACCTACCAGAATATGTAATATAAATAGCAAAGTAAATGAATGGAATGACAGTAAGCACAATGAGAATTCAGAACAGGGAAGGCTGGAGTAGTCGAGCCCATGACTTCAGCAGGATCCTAAACAACGCTAACTCATGCCCAAAACAAAGCCCAATTTCTCTCTGCTGCTATGACTTGCTGTTTCCCCAGGACCTTAGCAACACTCTTCGTATTCTAAGCAAGTTTTTTCAGTCTCTTTCATGGCGTATGTCATGGCACACAGAGAAAAAGAAAACTGTATAGTACTTGGAAATAAAAGTATCACAAAGATAAAAAATCCCGGCACTTACCTAACTCTTGAAACACGGTGGGTTGTACTCAACGCTACAATACAGTTCAGTTCTTGGGGAACTGCCTAAGAAATCTTACAGAATGTTCATTCTACCTTGCTTTCCATGATAACAAGTTTAATTTAATACCAGTTTTTGCTATTTTGTACCTTGTGTTCCACAGCCATGTAGTATAGATCTATGGAAACCTTTATGGAATCATGACTATGAATTAATCAGTGCAAATGAACTTTCTGTCCAACTCTAGTGTGTCTCAAGTTGAGAAAGGAATAAAAGGAAACCACTATAAAGCAGAAAGAATGAGACCAGTACCATCAAAAGTAGCTGGAATTTGCAGTTTCGGTGTTAGTACGAATATCAAGACATGCTGCCAGCTTCAGACTCTTCTCACTCTCACTACATCTGGCTGATAAAAAAAGAGTAATAGATAATACAGCTGTAAACTGTGCTCGACACAGGACAGTACAGAGCTCTAGGAACACATGTACTTCATGTTATAGAGGTCGTCCTGAAGAACTGGCTATCAACCAAACTATATTTCAAGTACCCTGGAAAAAATTATTAGTTGGCCCCAGTGGCAAATTCCATAAAAGAATAATCTGCAATGAGAGATCAGTCTTTAATTTACTTCAATCAATAAACATGTTTTGAGTACCTAGCTTTTGCCAAGAAATCGTACAGGTCACATGTCCAATAAATAGACTCATGGAATCTATGGATTAGAATCTTAAAGGTTTACTATCCAGTCCCTTCTGATTGCTGAATCTCCTCTCCTCCACATAAGTAAGGGTTCTTCCAGTCCCTATTTGAGCACTTCTAGTAACCGGTAGCTCATGAGAAGCAATCCGTTAGACTTTTGGCAACTCCAATTGCTGAAAGTTCTCCCTAACAAACACCAAGATCTGCCTCTTCCACCAACTAGTTCTAGGTATATAGGCTAGAATCAAGAACTAGTCTAACTCCTCTTTCTGGGACAGCTGAGGCCCTGACACCTGGCAGTGGCTGGCACCTCCCAGCCGGGGCGGCTGCAGCCCTAAACGAAAGATCGAAGCTGAGCAGCCCAGGTGCAGCAAAGAAGGCCCGGGGGCCAGGAGGCCCGGGTGCAACCGCGGAACGCTCTGTGGTCGTGGACAGGACGCTCTGACAAGGCGGCTGGGCGGATTCCCTCTACGACTGGGGAAGAATCTGCGCACAGACGCCAGCGCAGTTGCCTCGACCCCCGGGCCCCGGGACTCGGCTCGCACGAGCCAGTCTGGGGACCGGGGAGGCGGGGAGAGGGAAGGGGCAAGCGCCGCCGCGGCCCAAACCTCCAGTAGCCGCAGCCGCCGTCGCCGGGTAGGGCCGGGCAGCCAGCCGGGCCTGGCGCAGCATCAGTGCCCGCTGTCTCTTCCGCTCGACACTCGCCCGCACCGAGGCAGGCAGCTCCGTGGGTTGCTCTAAAGCCGCCGCCTCCGGCGAAGCCCCGTCGGCCGCCGCCATCTCCGACCTACTCCGAGGACCCAGCTCCCAGGCCCACGCACGCGCACTGCGCGCCTAGGCGAGCCGACCGCCCGGCACAGTCTCTGCGTTCCCCGTACCCAGCGGCCTTTCGGAGTGAGAGCGCCTGCGCAGTTAAGGGGCTCGGCGTGGCCTGCAGGGGCGCTGTGCGGAGTCTGGGCATGCGCGGACACGGAGTACCCACCTACCTACCTGCTCACTTGTCATCTGGGAGAAGAGTCCCTGCTGAGATCATATGTCAGGACCTGGTCACCTTTAAAATAGGTCTCGCTTGGTGATTCAGAGTATAGGCTTTGGAGTCAGGCCTGGGTTAAGTCTGAACTCTTGACAGTTAAAGTCTGTGTGACCTTGGGCAAGTTACTTAACCAGAGTTCAGTTTCTTCAGTAGTAAAATGAGGATAATTACGGAACCATTTAGGAACCATTTACTGAGTCGCTGGGAAGATTAGATTGCCAGGACAATACCTGGCACGTAAAAGACCTCAAAAAATGGTAACAGTGAGTAGTAGTAGTGCCAGTCATAGAGCCCAACAGATGATAGTTCTGATTTCATGTTGGATACATGGCCTAGAGACACAGCCTTAGACTTAAAATGAGAAGACCTGGGTCGAAACTCCCAGTTAACTTGCTGTGTGACCTCAGGCAAATGCAGCACTTGGTCCAGGGCTGATATGCATAAGGTTGGCTACCTTTTCCATGGAATATTCCTTCAGTGAGGATGAGCTGCTGCCAGGTAGACAGTGGGTTTGGATCTGGGCCAAATATCCTGACTTCCCAAAAGTGTGGCTAGTGGAACAAAAGAAACATAGCAGGCCACCCCAAAAATGTATGCTTTCCCTTTGTTACAAATAATACTTAATTGAAACCAGAAAACATTAACTTCTAATTACTACATGTACCATTTAGGACTGGCTTTTAGAAAGACAACCTGACACACTGATGTTTCCCACTAATATTCAATGGTTAACGTTTCAGAAACACAGTTCAGTAGTTCTAGTTTATCGGTCATACATACATAAAGCTGCAAAACCTTGTATAAAGCAGTTACATGCTGAAATCTTCTGGTTGAACTGGAGATAGAAATCTCAAGCCATCTGCATCTCCCTTCCCCTCAGATCTTTCTTTCTCCCTATCCATCTATCTTTCCCAGGTGAAAATATTTCAAATTCCATAACACCAAAAGCACAAGCAGCAAAAGAAAAAAAAACTGGACTTCATTAAAATTAAAAACTAGGCTGGGCACAGTGGTTCACACCTGTATTCTCAACACTTTGGGAGGCCAAGGCAGGAGAATCACTTGTCATGAGTTCAAGACAAGCTGAGGCAACATAGTGAGACCCCATCACTATTAAAAAAAAAATAGTTGGTAAGGTGCAGTGGCTCATGTCTGTAATCCCAGCACTTTGGGAGGCCAATGCAGGAGGACTGCTTGAGCCCAGGAGTTCAAGACCAACCTGGGCAATGTAACAAGAACCCATCTCAGGAGGTCAAGGCTGCAGTGAGCTGTGATGGCACCACTACCCTCCAGCCTGGGCAACATAGTAACATCCTGTCTCAAAAAAAAATTAAAGTCATCGGCAAAGCCTGAGTCCTGTCCTCTCACTCTCCTCCCTGGACAGCATGAGCTTCACCACTCGCTCCACCTTCTCCACCAACTACCAGTCCCTGGGCTCTGTCCAGGCGCCCGGCTACAGTGTCTGGCTGGTCAGCAGCAAAGCCACTGTCTATGCAGGCGCAGGGGGCTCTGGTTCCCGGATCTCCGTGTCCCGCTCCACCAGCTTCCTGAGTGGCATGGGTTCCGAGGGCCTGGCCGCGGGAGTGGTCGGGGGTCTGGCAAGAATGGGGGGCATCCAGAACAAGAAGGAGATCACGCAAAGCCTGAACAACTGCCTGGCCTCCTACCTGGACAGAGTGAGGAGCCTGAAGACCAAGAACCGGAAGCTGGAGAGCAAAATCTGGGAGCACCTGTAGAAGAAGGGACCCCAGGTCAGAGACTGGAGCCATTACTTCAAGACCATTGAGGGCCTGAGGGCTCAGATCTTCACAAATACTGTGGACAATGCCTGTATTGTTCTGCAAATTGACAATGCCGGTCTTGCTGCTGATGACTTTAGAGTCAAGTATGAGACAGAGCTGGCCATGTGCCAGACTGTGAAGAGCCACATCCATGGGCTCCACAAGGTCACTGATGACAAATGTCACTCAGTTGCAGCTGGAGACAGAGATCGAAGCTCTCAAGGAGGAGCTGCTCTTCATGAAGAAGAACCATGAAGAGGAAGTAAAAGGCCTACAAACCTAGATTGCCAGCTCTGGGTTGACTGTGGAGGTAGATACCCCTAAATCTCAGGACCTCGACAAGATCATGGCAGATACCAGGCGCAATATGACGAGCTGGCTCAGAAGAACCAAGAGGAGCTGGACAAGTACTGGTCTCAGCAGATTGAGGAGAGCACCTCAGTGGTCACCACGCAGTCCACCGAGGTTGGAGCTGCTGGGATGATGCTCACAGAGCTGAGACATACAGTCCAGTCCTTGGAGATCGACATTTCCATGAGAAATCTGAAGGCCAGCTTGGAGAATAGCCTGAGGGAGGTGGAGGCCTGCTATGCCCTGCAGAGGGAGCAGCTCAATGGGATCCTGCTGCACCTGGAGTCAGAGCTGGCACAGACCTGGGCAGAGGGACAATGCCAGGCCCAAGAGTACAAGGCCCTGCTGAACATCAAGGTCAAGCTGGAGGCTGAGAGCACCGCCTACTGCTGCCTGCTGGAAGATGGCGAGGACTTCAATCTCGGTGATGCCCTGGATAGCAGCAACTCCATGCAAACCATCCAAAAGACCACCACAAGCTGGCTAGTGGATGGCAAAGTGGTGTCTGACCAATGACACCAAAGTTCTGAGACATTAAGCCAGCAGAAGTAGGATACCCTTTGGGGAGCAGGAGGCCAATAAAAAGTTCAGAGGTCAAAAAAAAATTAAAAACTTTTCTGCATCAAAGAACACTATGAAGAAAATGAGGGTAAAAAGCCCCACAGAATGGGAGAAAATATTTGCAAATCAGATATCCAATAAGGATCTAGTATCCAGAATTTATAACAAGCACTTCCAGCTCAACAACAAAAAGAAAACCCAATTTAAAAATGAGCAAGAAACTTAAATCGACATTTTTCTGAAGAGGATGTACAGATGGCCAATAAACACATGAAACAATATTCATCATTAGTCATTAGGAAAATGCAAATTAAGGCACAGTGACATACCACCTCACACCTCCAGGCAACCCTTCCTTCTCTGATTTCAACCCTGCCAACAAACCCCCCTCTCTCAGTCCCCCTCCCACCACCATCCCCTCCTCCTTCTCCTTCGGCTCCTCTCCCCCACCCCCTTATCCTGGTCCTCCATCCCAACCTTCCTTCTCCACCGCACACCCGGTCTTGTACCCAACCCCCTTCTGCCAAAGGTCACTCCCACAACCAAATGTTTTCCAAAGTCCTTCCCTTGCGAAAGGTGTCAGGGTCGAAGGTATAGTCCAAATTCATGTTCCCTTCTCCCTAGCCAACCTCTCCCAGCTTAAAAAGAGACTCAGCTCCTTTTCCACAGACCCCATTTCCTCGCGCAAGGAATTTCTGTATGTCACTCAATCTTATGACCTTACCTGGCATGACATTTATGTCATCCTCTCCTCCTCCCTCACCCCGGAGGACAGGGAATGTATCTGGACAGCCACCCAAGCCTATGCAGACACCCTCCACCAACAAGATGCTGCCCATAACCTTATAGGGACCCTAGCTGTCCCCAGAACTGACCCCAATTGGGATTATGAGGCAGTTTCCTCAGACAGACAGAAACGAAGCCATATAATATCATGCCTCCTAACTGGCATGGATAAAGCTGCCCTTAAGGCTGTAAACTATGAAAAGATAAAAGACATCACACAAGGCCCCAATGAACATCCTGCTCTTTTCTTCTCCCTCATTTCAGGGGCCATAACTAATTATACCACCTTAAGCCCTGATACCCATGAGGGCAGAATCTACCTACCCATTTACACTTCATTTCCCATTCAGCCCCCAACATCTGAAAGAAACTTAAAAAACTAGAAGATGGCCCTCATACCTCCCAAAGAGACTTAATCAAAGTGGCCTTTATGGTCTTTAATGATGATGGCTAGAATTTTGAAAAATAACAAAACAAAGAAAAGAGAAGAAGTATTGGCAAGGATGTAAAAAAAAAAAAAATGGAACCTCATGCGTTATTGGTGGGAATGTAAACTAGTGCAGCTGCTGTGGAAAACGGTTTGACTGTCCCTCAAAACACGAAACGTAGGATTACCATATGAGTCAGTAATTCAACTCATGAGTATATTCCCACAAGAACTAAAAACAGGTGTGCAAACAAAAACCTGCACACAAATGTTCACGTAGCACTATTCACAATAACCAAAAACTGGAAACTACCCAACTGCCCATCAACTGATGAATGGATAAACAAAATAGAGTATATCCACACAAAGAAATATTATTTGGCCAGGCATGGTGGCTCACGCCTGTAATCCCAGCACTTTGGGGGGCCAAAGCGGGTGGATCACAAGGTCAGGAGATCAAGACCACCCTGGCTAACACGATGAGACCCCATCTGTACTAAAAATACAAAAAAAATTAGCTGGGCATGGTGGCGGGTGCCTGTACATGGTGGCGGGTCCCAGCTACTCAGGAGGGTGAGGCAGGAGAATGGCATGAACCTGGGAGGCGGAGCTTGCAGTGAGTGGACATCTCGCCACTGCACTCCAGCCTGGGCGACAGAGCAAGACTCGGCCTCAAAAAACAAACAAAAAAAAAAAAACAAAAACAAAAACAAAAAAAAAAAGAAAAAGAAAAGAAAAGAAAAGAAAAAGAAATGTTATTCAGCCAAAAAAAAAGAATGAAGTACTGTTACATGCTACAACATAGATAAACCTTGAAAATATTACGCTAAGTGAAAGAAGCCAGACATGAAATGCTACAGAGTGTATAATTCCATTTACATGAAACATTCAGAATAAGCAAACCTACAGTGACAGAAAGCAGATTAGTAGTTGCCATGGGCTGAAAGGAAGAGGAACCA